GAATAAAAGTATAGAAAGATACTTTTTTATTGTAGACAATGTAGAACTGTAAATAACTCTTGTCATATTAAGAAATAAATAAAATTTATATTTATTAGTTATAATTTTTTCAGTTAAAAAACACATTTTCTATGCACTTTTTATTAATAGTAATCAGTTGCTAAAACATATTTCTCTAAATTACTATTGATTTAGAGTTATGAGAAATTAATATGTGTGGAAAATCTAAGATATCTAACAATCAGGATTCGACCAAAAAAATCTAACTGTCAGAAAAAAATAATTATTATTTCATCGGTAAAACAGTAAAAGAGTAAGACATATAAGAAAGTACATTTTTATAGTAGACAGTGTAGATCACTGTTGTCATATACCAAAATCATTCAAGGAAGAATATATTAGTTTCTCTATTTCATAATATTTGATTTTTTTAACTTTTTCACACAGATTAAAAAATCATTAATGTTTAGATATAAATATATTATTTTTCTCTCATTAAAACAAATTTTATGATTATAAACCAATCATAATTCATCACTCTCAATTAATATCTCTTAAAATATATATTTATTATCATTAATCTATACAAAATAAATAAATAAAATTCTAGAAAATTAAACTTTGTGAAACAGAATAAAAACCTAGAAAATAAAACATTGTGAAACAGAGGGGGTATTTCTTTCATTAAAAAAACATTTCCTATGCACATTTTATTACTAGTAATGATGAGAAATTAACTTTAATAAACATTAATTGAACTTTCTAAATTACTATTGGTTTAGAGTTATGAAAAATTATTTAATAAAGATTGATGCATTTATAATCTAATAAAATTTTCTTTTTAATATGTGTGAGAATTTATAAAATAAATATTGATTTTAAAAGAGAAAATAGAGAGGTTAAAGACGACATGTTATTATTATAAATATTTGTAATAGAATTGGACTCGGTTGGGGCTCTATGACTGCTGAGTTTACTTCGTTCATGATCTTAAGGACTGGTCTTGGCGAGGTTTTTCTTCTCGGAACTCTTGCAGTGGCGACTTACAATTTGATGCATATGTGTGGTGGATTTTAAGTTTTGGGCAGATGTGCCAGCAAAAGAAAAAAAATAGAAGATTTTATTTAGAAACAAAAAGTAATTATCCTTAATTTTATGAGTTAAGCGACTACATATCAATAGATGAAAGATTAATTGAGGAAATGCAAAGCATAGTTTATAAACTAAGTAAATACAATTTACTAAATTTGTGGTATCCAAAAATACTCCTACATCTATTCATGAAAGTTTCTGCAGAAGTATTTAATGCTCTTTCATCCGAGGTGATATAAAATATTAAAATACAATAAATATCTTGAAGAGATCCTGCACCGTCTACCCTCATAATCTCGATTGTTTATTATTAACAGTAATATCTTGAAGGGTTATCTGCAACAAAAAATGGTCTCAATTAGCATAAAAAATAAAACCAGATATTTACCTTCTATATTAATGGTGATAACATTGGTTGTCTGCATAACCATTTATAAAAGGTTAAAAAGATGTTGGCAGATAACTTAATCGAGCCAATATCCTTAGCTGCTCAGAGGAACTCGTACCTAAGAGAAGGTGAACAGAATTATTATTTTAAAATAATAAAACGCGCTATTATCTGGTTAACATATTTAACTGTTAACACTATAAGTTATTTAATAAATTATGTTACCTGATATATTACCTGATATATTGCGTATTGTTATCAGGAAAAGATGATGTAAGGGGAAATTGCGCTATACCCTAGCACAAGTACCTATGAGAAATATACATCACTAATAGGTACTGATAATATGGTTGTCTTGAGTTTTTTGTTGTTATTATATAACTAAATACATCTGATAAAATAAAGATGTTGACAGATAATTTAGTGAGGCCAACATCCTCAGCTACTCAGAGGAATTTGTACCAAAGAGGAGGTGAACGGAATTATTACTTTAAAATAATAAAGCATGGTGTTTTTTGTTAACAGATTTAACTGTTAACACTATATGTTATCTGATAAATTATGTTACCTGATATGTTGTGTATTGTTATCAGGAAAAATTGATCCTAATTCACTTGATAACGTTATCTTCCAAAGTATTCAGCGTATAGGTGACTGTAAATCTTAAATAGTTAGTTATCCGCAGATCCATTCTGGTTATTATGTTATCAGCTGAGATTGTATCTTGATAATTTTTTTTGTAGATAACCTGGTTGGTCGGCTAATGACTAATGTAAACGCAAATATGTCAGGTAATCCTATTTCGGAAGCGATTTTGAAGGAAAACATAATCAATATCATGCACCAATTTATGTTTGCCGGCGACACCAAAATTTGTAGGAGTTTTTTTGGAGAGATAACAGATAACAATGGTGGTTTTAATAAAAAATCCTAAACTCTTTTTTTCCATCTAAAAATAATTTAATTTTAAATTTGGATAGTGTTGTCAGCCGAACGGACACACGCAACTGGTATTAGGTCCCATCTCATAGGAGAAGGAGATATGAATATATATCTGAAATAAGGATTTGTTTGTCCTTTTATCGTGAACAACTTACGTGAACAGTATAATTTTTTGAAAAGTTAATTTTCATAGTTTCTATTGACATTTAGTTCAATTACTCTAATTTTATCTAGAAAATATATTTGTAACACCTCGATAGTTTATGAACTATTTGTGAATGGTAACTAATGATGGTGGGAGGATACCATTTACTGTTTAACTAAAAATCAGGAGTTGTGCTAAGAGCACGTACAGCGGAGATTCAGGCCCAAAATCATATGCAGATTCGAATTAAAAATAATAGAAAATGGGCCATTTTTTAATGATCCGGTATCGTCCGCGACGAGTCTGAGGAGATCGTATCACGGCCACGTGTCGTGCGCTGGTTCGTCGATAAATCATGAAGTGGCTGAGACAAAAAAAAATTTTTCCATCGTGCATTTCTCTTTTCTTCACCCGAAATCTTTTTTTCTTTTTGTCGAAGGCGATTTCTCCGGCGACTTCACGGAATCTCGTCGACAACGACAAATCAACCGTCGGAAATAGTTTTCCATCGTCCAGCTGACGGAAAATTTTGACGGTGAGGGTGTAGAAAGCAGAGAACCGTGAGCTGAACGTGCCTCTGCTCTCGCTCTTCACTATCGCTTCGTCGCGACTCGATTCAGTCGGTAATGTCGCGATTCGAGTTTAGCTTAGCGGCGGATGTGTTACCGGAGATGAAGCGCGGTAATGTAGCTGGTCTTTCCATGGCTAGAACTTACTTTTCCCATCAAAAATCCAATTCGATTGAATCATTATTGGGCATGCTAAAAACTTGATTTTGAGCTTGAATTGAAATTCCATTTTGGACATATCGGGTTTACATTATTTGGTGGGGCTTCAAGTACGATTACTCATGTAGGAGGAGCACGATCATCGAATCAATGCTCATACCCAAATCGTTGCTTAGGCTACTTTTGTTTTTGCTGTTGTTACTTTGTCGAAGACGAAGAAGAAAGGAAGAGCACAAAAAGTGTATTGTGAATGGAATCAAAGAGGCTGTCGAGAAGTATACTTCTGTCTATGTTTTCTCTTTTGAAAACATGAGAAATATCAAATTCAAAGAGTTTAGATAGGCACACTAGAAGGTCAGTTTCTCTGTTTTTGTAATCGTTACTAGATTGGTGTTACCTGAATGTAATAGATTGAGACATTGCTTTGCTTTCAATTTGGTAATATCATTTGATTACTATTCGATGTTTTGCACTTGGAATAGAATAGTTTGCTTTCATTTGGTAAATATCATTTGCTTTCAATACAATAGTTTTGCACTTGGATGTTTTATGTCAAAGTTTTGCTGCTTACATGTTTGTAGAATATCAAAACTATTAAAGCTTTTTCTCAAGTCCTGTTCTAAAATATTTTTTTTTTATTATTATTGTTGATGAACCTAATTTTGAGGTTCACCACTAGAACCAGAAATTAGCATAAGTTCTTCTACAATCTCAAAATCAAAATTTAATAATATTTTATTTTGGTGAACCCCTAAGAGGAGTTCACTAATGTACATGCTCTAATTAAGAACCCACAAACATAACGAAATTCCTGAAATGTGATAAACATGGTCACTGCAGCAGCAACGGAAGTCACATC